CAAACTTTTCTTTCTCTTCCCCCCTCCCCGCCCCGCTTCCCCCTCTCCTGGTCCCCTGCAGAGACCTGTTATGACAATGGAAGATACTATCAGATAAACCAGCAGTGGGAGCGCATTTACCTGGGGAACACGCTGGTCTGTACCTGCTACGGTGGGAGCCGAGGGTTTAACTGCGAAAGCAAGCCCGAGCGTAAGTCGGTGGTCTTTGTTTTTTGTCTGCACCAAGACGCCAGCGCGGCTTTTGATGCAGAGTAAGCTAAGCCTTGTACCGAGTTAGAACTGACAAACCAGGTTTTCTGCTGAAGTTTGGTGCTTGGGGTCGATAACGGATCTACACTCAATTACACTCGAAGATCTGGCTCGGGATTTTAAGAAATGCTTTTCATTAGCGATGGGCCTGCCACCAGAACCCCGAGCCAAACATCACTCATCTCTCTGGAGGATTGGATCTAAACATTAATTTTGGAGCCAACCTCTTCTTTATAATGAACTGAACTGACTCCTGGACTCACACAGGGAAGTTCAAATCTGGAGTCACTTTGCGGCGCTGGCTCCGCGCTGTTTGATTGCTTCGCCCCAACTTTTCATAGCTGTGCAGTGTCGTCAGCTTGTTTAAAAATACTTCAACTTACAACTTCCCGCAGCCCCCCAGCCGTGCTGTGAGCTTGCTATAATTGAGTGTAAAATGAGATTGTTTAGTCTTCTGCAGAAAAAGTTGAGGTAACAGAAAGAACTTTAAATGCAACGTCTGCTGGGAGATGTGTCTCTCTGGGATGTGGTGTAGCTGAGATTATCAGATGTGATCTGTCTCTATTTGTTGGTCTTAAGGCACTGGTTTGCCATTACTCCTTTATGTTGCTCTGGAGATAGAAGAGGAAAAAAATGGTTCCTTGGCTGACAGTGCTCATGTGAGACAGATGGGAGCGTCCCAGCAGTCCCATTTTGCAGGGCGTGTGTGCTGCCTGCCTCGCAGCCAGAGGATTTTAACGAGTACTGTCCCCTCTGTAAAAGGGGATTTGATCTAGTTCTCCTTCCCCTGCAGGGATTCCCGAGTTTCACAGTTTCAAAGTCCACCAGCAAGTTTCACGTATGGGAAACTTCACAGCAGTGAAGAAGGTTGTTCTGTTGCAGATCTCAAGTCTGGTGGCAGCACTGACGTAACCGTTCTGTAATAGCTTAACTCATGCACGAGTGTCGACAATTCATAAGTAGTACTGCTGACTTCGGTGGGACTGCTGCAGAATTTGGGACTAACATACTCAGTTTTTTTTACCAAGTCAGAACAAGGAGGATCAGTATGATGAAGCACACAGCTTCTAGAAGATGTTCACTCGCTGTCTTCTGTACCATTGCAGTTCAGACAGCTGGGATTGATTCTTCCAGGCATACCTGCCCGTGTGCCATGCTCAACTTCTGACTCTTTAGGGGAGGGAAGCTGAGATTATTCAGCATCGTGGGGACCTTAAGGGGGCAAATTTCACCCAACTTCTCTGTGCTGCTCCATCCCAGGAAGAAATAGGAGACTGATACACCTTTGTCCCCAGGGGAAAAAAAAGAGCGTGTGTGAGGAGACAAGGAATGTGTGTTTATGTTGACTGTACGTGTTACTGGCATGGTAACATGAACTGATTTTTCTCCCCACGTAGCTGAAGAGACTTGCTTCGACAAATACACTGGATCCACTTATCGAGTAGGGGAGACTTACGAGCGCCCCAAGGACTCCATGATCTGGGACTGTACTTGCATTGGAGCTGGACGTGGGAGAATCAGCTGCACCATTGCCAGTATGTAACTAAGAGCCTATTACTAAAGCTAGTACTCCTTAGTGTCAGATTTTCCAGAGCAACTTACACATATTCCCATTGCCTGTTAGCTAAAGTCATGGAGTTTAATGGAAAACCTGTTAAAATCTTGGAATTGAAAGTCCTTGCCCCGTGTGCCTACATTTGCACGACCAAGTTCATTTTTTATTTAAGAGATGAAGTGCTATGTGTAAAAACATAAGCCAAAAATTAGTGTTAGTGTCCAGCCATGCAGTTTAGTACATTTACTATATACAAGAGTGTGCTACATCTTCATAGGATTTTTTTGACTGGAAAAAAGAGGTTTTCTCTCACTCTGCAGCTGGTGAGACAGAACAACACTATCAGCATTAATGGGACTACTCTGAATAAAAAAGAATAAATGTCATCTGAGAGCCAGTCCCGCTGTCTTCCAAAAATGTCGTGCCAACACTTGTCCTTGAGGGAGCTGAGATTTGATATCCAGATGCCATCTCTGTGTGTTTCTGCAACTCCTTTTTTGCCATCCTGACCTATACTTTCTTCTGTTCCTCCCTCTCTCCCCTCGGTCCTTTCTCCCCAGCTCTCCATTTCACATCTCTGTCTGGAAATCCTTTCCTTACCGAGTCACTGAATTGTTCACAATTTCCCTTCAGTTCATCCTGTGGTCTCACAGAAAGTCTAATTAAGATCACTCTATGTCAGGACTTTTAGACAGAGATTTCAAATTCCCTGAGGCACTGTTTGAGAAAAGTCTCGTTCTTAAAAGTATCCAGTTTCTTGTACACTTGCTGATTTTAGTAGCATTGCCACAGAGCTCTCAGAAGCCAGTCGTCACCACAGCATGGGAAAAAAAGTGCTTTCAATCTAACAAGTTGAGCTGAAGCCCTTCTGAATTTAATAGCATTTTATTGGGATGATAAGTCTTGTAAGAAAAGAGTCAGTAAGGCAATTCCAGACATTAGAACAGTCTCGTTTCGTCATCAGCCTGGTTTAGAGCTCACTGGAGGGCCTCACTGACAGCAACTGGCTTTGCATCAATCATCATAACTTTTAGATTCCATTCCTTCAAAAATGAGCCAGCGAAACATTTTAGAGGCTCCTCATAAGTTACCAGATAGATGTTTCTCCTCTTTCTCTTGGAAGAAGACCCTGTGTTCACAAACTGCGTTTCCCTCCCTGAGCCTGGGTCCGCATTGCCTCAGGGCTGTGGGGCACCAGTGGGCTGGCAATCTGCCTCTTCAGGACTGGATTTCCAATCCCAAGAGGAGCAATGTCCCACTAGTGTGGCACACCGAACACCTCCTTATTCTCCACAAGCTGGCCTGGCCACCATGTCCCTCCTGCTGTATAGGGATGGCCACAGAGAGGCCCAAGCAGTACCACCTCAGAACAAGATGGAGGCAAACCCTTCCTCACCACCCCTCTGGAGAAACAGCACCACCTCAGGTCCCGGCATTCCCCTTTCACCATCCAGGTCTCAGCTGTGGTTTGAAGCCTGGAGAAGGTTAGCTGAGGAGAGAGGATGAGGCCTGTGGGAGTCTCAGAAAATGGCAGGTGCTGATAGAAAATGGCAGGCACCATTTTGCAGTCTGGAGGGGGAGGTGGCCATGCCCTGCTCCTTCTCTGCACCACCCTGCACCTCTGCCCCAGCTGACCCCCTTTGTCCCTGGCCAGGTGGCCCTTACCTTGTCCCTGCGATGATGTCCCTGCTGTGGTCCCTCACCTCAGCTCCCCTCTCTCCCGCTGCAGATCGCTGCCATGAGGGGGGACAGTCCTACAAGATCGGCGATACCTGGCGCCGGCCCCACGAGACTGGCGGCTACATGCTGGAGTGCGTGTGCCTGGGCAACGGGAAGGGCGAGTGGACCTGCAAGCCTGTGGGTAGGTGATGGCTCCCTTCTGCTTCCGCTTGGTTGAGGTGTGCGTCCTCTTCCTCCTCATCTTCCTGAGGCATCCTCGTGTGGGATAGCCCTGGGCAGACTCTTGTGACCTTCCCCTCTCGCAGCGGAACGATGCTACGACAACACGGCTGGGACGTCCTACGTGGTCGGTGAGCGTTCTACGTGGCAGGTGAGACCTGGGAGAAACCCTACCAGGGCTGGATGATGGTGGACTGCACCTGCCTGGGGGAAGGCAGTGGCCGCATCACCTGCACCTCCAGAAGTAAGTGATGGCCTGGCACCTGTGCGCTGCTCCGCTTGCTTTGTTTATTTATTTTTCAAATCGATCCCCGCATCAGAAAGAAAAAATACTGATTTTTTCTGCCCTGTTGCAAGAGGCAGTGATTTTGAAGGGCTAGCTCTCTCCTGAGAGAGGGCGGGAAATAGAGCCCTCTGAGGTGAGAGGGGGACGTTTGGCGCGTCCTGATGGCCGTCTGTGGTCTGGGGATGCGCTGGAGAGCTGGTGGGCCATGGAGTGGCCGGATTATTCGGGGTTTTAACCGTTACAGAGAAGGGTTTAGGCAATCTGCAGGCCAGCTGAGTCACAGTCCTATATCCCCCAGGAAGGCGGGGGAATTCGTTGGTTTGCAAAATATTGGAGAGTTTGGCCTAGTATCTCCATTTCTGTTTTTTTAAAAGTAGCCTCCTGAGGGAAAATTAGGTGCTTCTGCTTAGAAATAGTTACCTGCTGCAACAGCAGGATATTCCAGATTAAAATACCTTCTTCTTTTTTCCTCTTTATTACTCTTTAACATATATGTTAGCTAAAACACAGTTTTGTCTGCATTCCCATCTCGCTTGTGAGTTTTTCCCGCCATTTTGTTTTCAGGGTAAACATGCTTCACCAGCGCAGGTGACTTTGTAGTTTTTACATCATTGAAGGATATTACCATATATATTCCATTTTATTTGTGTTTGCAAAGCAAACAGAGCTTTTAAAACCCGAAAATCTTGCTTGCTTATCTGTCTTCTGTTACAATTTTGTTAGGAGCAAGCTCTGTTGTGGAGCTATCGTGGTTTGTACCGTGGTTTATACCAGTTGCCTCAAGGAAATTTAACTTTGTACCTTACACCTTTGTTATGCAAGGCTTGAGAAACTCCCCTGTAGCCTTTAAATTGCCTCATATTCAGGTGCCTTGGGGCACAGAGATAATGGTTTTCTGCTGATATAAACAGCTGACCTGTAAAGAGCTAAACCACTAAGGAGGGTTGGGATTAAATCTGAAGATCTGGAGAGACTTGGTCAAGAAATAAGCTATAAAAACCAAACCAGCCTTGACAATATTAAGTTTGTTAAAAACATATGGGGAAAATTGTTAACTGTCAGGGAGGAATGAATAAAACAGAATGTGTTGTTTGTGAATTTTGGAGGAGTTGGTGCTAGTAAAAATGATTTGGCAGTATCTTTCCTCCCACAACTCAGACCTGCATTGTTGTATTGTAGGGGAAATTGCAATAAAATGACCTGCTCATTTTTCATTTTGTTTCACAAATGTAATCAAGCAGAGAAATTCAAATTTATGTATGTAAAACGATAGCTGTAACCCACAAAGTGGCATTATGCTTCAATATGTGCTGCTGTTATATATCTTTTTTGGCCAGTGTTTTCCAGAATTACAGGCAATTTCTTTGGGGGGACGTTTCAACTTTTCATTGCTTGAGAATCTTATGTGTCCTCACGCATAAGATTGGGCTTTTTTTTTTCTTTCCCCCACCTTTGCCAAATTGCTTTATGAGTACTTCACATATTTACTACTCTTCTGGCAAATGCTCAGTTTTTGGTCATTTTAACTACCGTGAATTAGAAGTGTGTTTTCCACATTGTTATCCCGTGTGCTCTTCCAATGGCAATCTGGCATGATCCATATGTCCTTCCGCAGTTTTTCATAAGCCCACGTTCATTGATCCATGATTATATTTGAGCCACTGTATCAAGTTGCCCTTGAATGAGAAGGTAAAATGTTGTAATGGAAGCAGAACTAGCTAATCCTCACGGATCTGGCATTGAGACAAAAGTAGTTTGTTATGCTGTCCTTTGAACCCATTTACTCAATTCATCACGGGCTGTGGGTTATTAAAGACAACAGGGAGATTTAGAAAGTCTAATATTACTGGTATGACATGAGCAGCTTATATTAACTTTGCTGGAGCTTTGTGCACACTTCTTTTGGAAGAAATTGAATTTACATATTGCCCTCAAAGAAGTTTTAGTTTATTCCAGTTGAAGTAGAGCCCAAAACTTGGAACTATGTCCTGTGTATAATATGAAATGACCCAGCTACAAAGACTTCTGCTTTAAAAAGAAGTTCTTTACTGAACGAGTGGTGAGGCACTGGAACAGGCTGCCCAGGGAGGTGATGGAGTCACCAACCCTGGAGGTGTTTAAAAAAAAAGTAGATCGAGCACTTGAGGCTGTGGTGTAGTGGTTAGGTGTGCTGGGATGAAGGTTGGATTAGATGATCTTCAGAGGTCCCTTCCAACCCCTAACATTTTGTGATTCTGTGAAAAAAAACCCACAAAACCCCCAAAAACCAAAAGACAATAAACCAAGTTTAAGCTTAAAATATGCGTGCTAGACAGAATAGGCTTACAATAGCTTTAAAAGTGACTAGCAGGAAAAAAAAATTCAATGCAGAATGTGCTTTTTCACATTGATTTTTTATCTTAGCTTACCACGTTTGCACTTGGAATGTTTTGATGCTAACTTTGACAATGGCTACACAGTGAAATTGCAGTTCTGGAAATAAATGGGAATTTTCCCTTAGACTAAAGCATCAAGATTTTCTGCTGCTCTCAGCCTGTGCAGTTTCACGTAAGCTTGTAATAATGGGCTGCAGAAAACGAGGTGGGCTTTCAACAAAGGCTTTAATCTATCAGCTCGTTTGATTGTGTCAGTGGTTTGGTGAAGCCGTGCGATGCAGCTAACAGTCGCATTCCTCATACAGATAGGTGCAATGACCATGACACCAAGACTTCCTACAGAATTGGAGACACCTGGAGCAAGAAGGACAACCGTGGAAACTTGCTTCAGTGCGTCTGTACCGGTAACGGCAGAGGCGAATGGAAATGCGAAAGACATACGGCCCTGCATACGACTAGCACTGGTAAGTGGGGCTTTGCATCGTGAGGTCAGGGAAGGAACAAGGAATGGCACGTTGTGGACGGCTAGGGCTTGGAGTTGAGTTGTGCCATCCTGATTCAGGTATTTGAGAGTCTTGTCGGAGAAAGATCAGCAACAAAAGAGGGTCAGGGTTCAGGAGATGCTCCTTGTTTGTGCATGTGGAGGTAAGGTTAATTTATACCTCACCTCCGTGCACAAACGGGGCTCGCACATGCAGATGTGATTGTCTGCACAGTCACAGTGCAGTAAATTCCATCTAGGGCCTCGCGTCCACAGGGACCACGCGCTAGCTTTGTCTTGGAATCGTGACACTTCAGGTTAATATCTGAACTTTAAGTATTCGCCTGAGGGTAACTTTCTGGAAAGGTCCTTAGTTTAAACTCCACTGAGACCATCTGGTTTCTTTGACAAGATAAATACACCGGCTAATGGGCGAGCTTTAAAAACCAGAAATGTCAAGGAATGTGTATAATGCTATTTAATACATGTGCATTAGATAGTTTGTAGCTTTGGTATGAAATACTACCTGATTTATGGATAACATGTTTTTTTTGCCAAAGGTTTGTTAAAGTCTTCAGCTTCTAAATTATCTTTTGCCATTTTAAGTATCTAGGTTTCCTGTTGATGAGTGCAATGTAAAAATTCTTTGTTTTCTTACATACCTTTTTCATAGTGAATTACCTTTTAACTATTTGGTACCAGCAGGTTAACTTCAAACTCTCAGAACGTCTCAACTTCAAAATGCACAAAAGCTTCAAGGGTGTCTGTGTTTTGTTTCTATTATTATTTCCCCTATTTCAGCAGAGCTGAATTTGTGGAGATTCCTGTGGGAATGATTGGCAACATTTTCCATAATGTAGACAACAAGCCTCTCAATATTATTCCAAATGATAATGAGCCAAAAAATTCGATTCAGCATTTAAAAATTCCAGAGTAAATGAATACATTTTTGCCTTATCTCCCTACTTCCTTGGTAGTGCTTTTATTTTCTTGTCTATTCTAGTTTTCCTTCGACTAAAATACTTTTTTCCAAAAGAATTTTTTCTAAACGATTTCTGTGGAAAGCAGTTAAGTCTCTTAATCCTTTCCAAAGCTGCTCTGTAGTGACGGAAACCAGAGGCTATCATTAGCAGGAACGGGACTTGTTCTTTGGATTTTGAAGTTTGCTCAGCGGAATAATTAAAATGTGTCTAGGGAAGCTAAGAGAATTGTGCCTTCGACCTGATAGACCACCTCAGGTTGATATTATCTCAGCATTTAATTGAAACATTCTGTTCTTCAGCTTTGCCTGTAATGTCTCACTTCTTTCCTGTTTTCTACTGCAGGATCTGGCTCTCCTAGCTTCACAAACGTGCAGACTGCCTTGTACCAGCCCCAGCCACAACAGCCCCAGCCTCAGCCATACGGCCAGTGCATCACTGATAACGGGGTGGTGTACTCTCTGGGTATGCAGTGGCTCAAGACACAGGGCAGCCAGCAAATGCTTTGTACCTGCCTGGGCAATGGAGTCAGCTGCCAGGAAATAGGTATGAGTCCGTGTTTAGTGCCTCTTTGGTCTAGTGAGATCTTTGGGACTGCCCTGCTGTTTAATCTCAAAGTAGAATCCTTTTGTGTGTGCGAAAGAAGTGTCTTGTGAAGAAGAGGAAGGTGCAAGGGGTGAAGAAATAGTTCTTTCCGTTGTTTGAAGCTTGGTTCTGTAGGGCAGAAACATTTCCCAGTGAGTTATATATAACTTACTGAGGGAAAACAGAGCCCCTGGGGAGCAGCATTAATAGCTTTATTCAAATCGAGCTGCAAAATATATGTTTGGAAAAGAATGTAAAAGAATGACACAGCTGCGGAGCTGAGTTGTCCGTTGGTGTGTGTTGGCCCAGCTCCATGGCTGTTGGTGTGACTTGGCCCAGAGGGGCTACTGCTGCTTTGAAGCTCTAAGATTTGGGGATTGCTTTAAGCCAGAGTCTAATGCTGTGATTTGCTTGTTTTAAAGCCGTGACCCAAACGTATGGTGGCAATTCTGATGGAGAAGCTTGTGTTCTGCCTTTCACCTATGATGGGAGGACTTTCTATTCCTGCACCACTGAAGGCCGCACGGATGGGCACCTCTGGTGCAGCACCACTTCCAACTTCGAGCAGGACAGGAGATACTCCTTCTGTACTGAGCAGAACGGTAAGTTCTTCTCAGCGGATCTTCACGTACATGTGACCCTCACGCACAGATGGAGGAAGGCGAACATAGGGACAGGCTGCCTGAACAAATCCGGTAGTCTGGGGGGACTCTAGGAATGCGCAAGAGCAAGGCAGTCCTGTGGATGGAATCGAGGCTCTTCTGTGCTCTTGGCATCTGTGGAAGATGCTCAGGGTGAGCCCTTTGAGTTTTGTTCTTTCTCCTCTGAGCTGACTGAGCTGACCTTAGAATGGGAGTACCTTGTTGGGATGCAGCTTTCACCCAAAGGATATTTAGGCTTTGCCTTTGCTTTGCTGAATTGCTACAGCAATGCCCATATTAGGCTACGAAGTGAAGGATGTCCATGGAGTACAGTTTGTGCAGTTCTTTGTCATTCCCTACGCCCTGACTATCTGGCCAGGTTGCCATATATAGCAGTAATCTTAATGTGATTTGTGATTACTGATCAAGAGCTGGGGCATGACTAATGCCTCAGCATTCCCTCTTGTCTGTGGATGGTCAGTGTTCCCTTCACAACACGCATCTACCTGTGTGGTTGCGCTTCCTGGAAAGGCCATCAGACATCCATGGAACAGTATCCAGGCAGCTTCTCTGGGATCTGACCTTGGAGAGAGTTTTTTGCATTCTCACATGAAAATACTGCTTCTTACTGTGCATAGATTTTTATTGGTTTTTTACTTTGTTCTTCAGTTGGGCTTTTTCTGATAAAAGTCAAGCCTTCTTCTGCAGCACATACAGTATTCTTTTTTTTTTTTAAATAAAAACTCAAACAAAAAAAAACCCCAGCACTGTCACTGTCCACAGACATTCTTGTTTTAGTGAGGCTTCTTGTAGTACATTGTGGGGAATGAAAATACCAGTACTGGAAAGCTTCAACAAATGCCTCCTTGTCCTCCTTTATTTGTAAAGCACAGTTGCTCAAGAGGTGAGTAGTTCAGGTAGATTACAGCCCTCTTTCCTGTGCAGCTTGCAAAACATGAAGCTTCCAACCTACAGAGAGGTTTTGACTTGGCCTGTTGCACGTAACTGAACTGTAACCTTTTCCTGAGGGCTAAGGCTTTACTTTAAGCCAAAGGGCACGATTGGGTAATAGCCTCAGTGAGATAATACAGATATGCTGAGAACTGTGAGTCTGTTTGATTCCCTGGGTTTTGGCATGAAGGGTCTGCAAAGCTGCTTCCCAAACACAGTAAGATTTGATTTTCCCAGTTCCCCAGGAATTCCCATGACTGACTTCACAACTCCTTCCAAAACAACGCTGGAACTGAGTTGACCTTGTGCAAGGCTTATGTTTCCAAATCGGAATTAATTAAAACCAAGAAAAGAGGCCCATGCATAATATAAAGGGTACACATGGGAAAAAGTAGCACTAGTGGTTTGTTTTCCAAGCTCTTCTGTGCGCGCTGAGGGAGACTGCAGCCTTCATTTGCGTCTGCTCTCTTTTCACTTTTGTACAGTTCTGGTCCAGACACGTGGTGGCAATTCCAATGGTGCTTTGTGCCATTTCCCCTTCTTGTACAACAACCGCAACTACACTGACTGTACTTCTGAGGGACGGAGGGACAACATGAAGTGGTGTGGAACCACTGAGAACTACGACGCTGACCAGAAGTTTGGGTTCTGCCCTATGGCTGGTAAGGCTGAGAACCTTAAAGGGATCATGGAATACCTAGAAGTGGTTCTTGAGCTGGTGGCAAAGAGCTGTCTGTTGTTGGTCAGTTACTGATGACTTCCAGTGAGACACATCCCAGCCTGAAACTCTTTCAGGCGTTTCTGAGGTTTTGCTTCCTGTTTTTCTCACCGCTGATTGCCTCTAGCACAGACTTAGTGACAGGAGAAGGTGATTTTCATTACTACTTTGCTAGAAGCCTGTGGTAGGCATGCTTCTCAGGTGGTGCAAACTGGTGTAAATCCATTAGGGAGCATTGGACTGTAGTGTTTTTTAGCAAGTAGCGTTTTTATCTTGCACCTACCAAAGCTTCTTCCTCATGATTTCTCCCTTGTGGTTTCTCCCTTCCTCTTGCCTGATCCACGGTTAGGAATAAGTCTGTACTTGCGTCAGTGTGTTACCCAGAAAATATCAGTTATGTCAGAGTCAATATTGTGTTCCAGTCCTACAACCCATGCCCGTCTCCATGATGTCAGGAGGGGACATGGGAGAGAATGTGTCTACTAATTCTTAAAAAGCCTTTGGTAACTAAAGGCAATGCAGCATCTGAGTCCTTAAACAGCTTGTGGAACATGTGGGTCTTCAAATGGCTATGTTCATATAAAGGCATGTGTGTAACAAGGACTGATTCTTTCACACAGCACCCCTTGGACATTGTGTAGAAGCTATTTCTAGTAGCTTTCAAATGAAAATTAAAATTAATGAGCCTCTGCAAGGGATCTGCACTTTGAGAAAGTCATCACCCAGCAAAAATGCTGTTTGAAATTGAGTGGGTGCCTAAAGCTTCCTTGTTAAGATACAGAAAGCACTACGCATTATGAAGGGGCATAGAAAAGGCTCTAAGCCCTCAAGATCTTGTTAATTCTGACCACATAAAGTCTCCTCTTGCTTTCTTCTCAACCAGCCCATGAGGAAATCTGCACAACCAACGATGGTGTCATGTACCGTGTTGGGGACCAGTGGGATAAGCAACACGACATGGGCCATATGATGAGATGTACTTGTGTAGGAAACGGCCGCGGAGAATGGACTTGCATTGCCTATTCCCAGCTCAGAGGTACTGATTTTCATGTTGATGTCACCGCTTCAGCCTAAGCGTTTGAAGGGGGGGAGTAATTGGTTTTCTTTACTATCACTGTGAATTTTAGCCCGGGCTTAAGTATTACCATGCCTTTATTTGGGGTAGAAAGAGAATCAGAGGAGCTGCATGAAGTTCCTGTATTGTTTACCTGCTGCAAAAGTACTGTTTCAGCCTTTGCAGGGTAGCAGAGACAAACCTTGACTGGCTTAATCAGTAGGTATCCCCACCTCCTTTTGTCTACGTTTAGGAGTCGGCAGCACTGTGAGAGCTCAACAGAGGCACCCTCCCCTCTCGAGAACAGACAAAACCCCAGACTAGTCTGAAGTTTGAATGCAGAGCTGTCCTGTTTTATTGTTCTGCAATGAAATTTTCAATTTGTCTGCGTTGGATTAGCCCTTTACTGGCTAATCTATATAAAGAGTTGGCAGGACAGCACTGAGATTACTCTTACTTATTTACTTATTTATATGAGTGGTCCAAGTGGAGAAGTGCTTAAGCAATACCAAAAAAAGGAGACTCAAAAGCACAGACATTTGATCATCCTACAGCCAGCTCACAGCATTGGCTTCATGTCTGGAAAAGGCAGGGGGGTTGCTGTCAAGCAGCCAGGAAAGGACTCTTAACACCACTGCTGAAATGGGATATAATTTATAGGGAAAGGCTCACTCAAGGGTTTTGGGTTTGTTTTTTTTTTTATGCATTTCCTTCAGAATAGTGAGAAATGCGCTGCTAAATGTTCTGGTCTGGGAAACTCCGTTCTCCACATCCACGGCTAGTTCTCTGCATTCTGGAATTCAAGTGGTCTTTCTTAGTTGGGGTGTGGGGGAGTGGAGATACTGTGCTTTTTCCAAAAGGCAAAGGTTATTCAACTAGAGCTGTTTAAACATAGCAGCCAGAGAAGGTCCTCAGTGCCCATCGGAGGGTCTGAGCACTGCTTGGTTTATCCTGACGCCTGTGGGAAAATATGATGGGGAATGAAAGCCTGGGATTAACTGAGTCGCTTCCCCAAGGACAGATGATCTGTGATTGACTCCGGAACTGCACTTGGGTCTCTTGGGTCCCAGTTAAGAAAACAACATGCTTCTGGGGTCGTTTGCATGTTTGTTTTGTCTTTCTGCTCCTTGCTGCCAGTAGAGTGGCGTTAGGAATTCTGGACCAAATCACAGTCAATCAATGTCGCCATTGAACCTGACAGACTGATACCATTGTACTTGAGCATAAGGTCAGGATGTGGTTACTGTGTTGTGAGGGGATGGTAGGTAAGTAGGCACCAGTAGCATCTTGGATGCATAATAGATCTGCGTCTGTCTTCACACTTCCCACAAAGTGCAGCAGAGACACCCAGCAGAATAACACCAGGGGGATGTTTGTACCTCCTTTTCTCCTTGTGTATTTCTAATGATTTCAGGCAGTACTCACTGAGAAATTTCAGTCCAGACCTTCTTCAGAGGAGGTAATGAGAGACTTCATGTGCTGTTTTAGAATTTCTTTCACACGTGGAATCTCTTAAAAGGAGCAACCAGGCAGTTCTGCAGCTGGAGTAACATATAATGCTTTGGATTGTGTCCTGCAGATCTGTTTTCTGCAAGGGCTGCTTATTTGCACACTGCTCATGAATGAACTTAGGAGCAGTGATGTGTGTGCAGCACTAATCTGGGGTGGTCACGGGTATCGGAAGGGCTCCCTTTTGCGTGAATGGAGCATGTCATGGTCAGTCCCTGTAAGCTGAGCGAGAGGAGGGAGCAAAGTACCAAGCAGCAGGTTTTTGTCTTGACTCTTATTGCTGTGGCTGACAAACTGTCTCTGCTGTTTCTCAAACAGACCAGTGCATCGTGGACGGAATTACCTATGATGTGAACCAGACCTTCCACAAGCGGCATGATGAGGGGCACATGCTGAACTGCACATGCTTCGGCCAGGGCCGGGGGAGATGGAAATGCGATCCTGTTGGTAAGTCACCCGCTGTTCCCGCTTGCCAAACGCGCTCTGTGACTGTATGGTGAAACTGCTATGTGAAATTGGATCCAGCCTTTTGCCCACTTTCTGCTCCGATTTTTACAACTACGAAAGTAGAAATATCACTGGAAGGTAAGGGAAAGGGCGCCCCTGATTTTGAGGACATGAGCTTGTGTTATCAGATTTACAACAGAAGAAGTCTATGATGCAGTAGTGTTGGATTATGCGAGTGTTCTTCTTAAAATGAAGCAGCTTGTGGAATCAGGACACGTTAGCCTCGGGCTGGGGCGATTTGGCTGAATTCTGGTGCCTGAGCTGTTGGCCTAGCAGGCAGGGCTCTCAAACTGAACGCTGATAAAACAATATGCAGCTAGGCACAGAGGCTAGGATCAGTTTTCTCTCCTCTCTTTATTCTAAAATCTTTAAAGTCTCCCCATTGAACTGAGAAAGGAGCACCAGCAAATATTAACTTACCTTGGACTAAATTGATTTTTTTTGGCTGCCCTTTGTTCTGGCAAAGAGAGAAAGCTCAGGATGAGAACATATGTTAATAGTACGCTGGAGGTTAGCTAAAACCATCATGGTTCTCTGCAGGAATGAGGAGGTTTCATCTCTTCTGTCTTCTCCCCCATTCCCTAGTGAACCTAGATTGGAAGATAAGACGTGGCTCTTTGGTTTGCAATTACTAAATCCAAGAGAACTTCAAACTATTGCCAAGAAAATCTGTTAGAAAGTACTAGTGGTTGAATTCTGCTTAATTTATGGTAATATCTGTACAGGTTTACTGGAGGAACTTAGATTGTAAAGCTCCTAAAAAGCACTGCCTTGAAAGAAGGTTGAGGGGTGAAAATTTCAGCTACCTGTAAAGGTGCAATTGGTTTAATATTGTTGACCTTTTCTAAACAAGGCTCCTGTTTATCTAAGTAAGCATAATGCTAGTTCTCACTGAAAGTTTCCGTTGAGCCTGAAACACTGGCGTAGGTCAGACTAGAAGGTGTACTGAAGCACTGGTACTGTGTTGTATTTACACCAGCTAAGCTGATTTCGGGATTTCATCTGTCCTCCTTTGGTTTATACAACTGTAATTCTGCTGAAAATTAGTGGATGACTTTGGACTTAAGAAGTATGACTGAGTTCTGCTGAAGCCAGGAGGAAATTTGCCTTTGATTTCCTTGAGAGCAGCGTGGTTTAGCTTTGGATGAGAGATGAACTTAAGTTGACTGGAGCAGAATTGGGTTCCACAGTAGATAGCGCAAAATAAATCCTTTCCTGAAGGAACACCCCATTAACTTCCCTGGGAATCCAGCCAGGTGGATGGCCTATACTTCACAGTATCTTAAGAAATGCATCACAGCGGAATTAGCCCCCTAGTATCTAACTTAGCACATGTAGGGGTAGTATCTAGAACCTGGATCTGAGATTGAATTTCTGCTGCCACTTATGTGACTTCTGTTTGCCAACAAACGGTGGTGTTAGATTTCTTGGTGTAAAAGTCTTTTGTGAGTTGCTCTCCATGTTCCACATAGATTTTTCACTACAGTTGGAGTGACACTCCGTGGTTAACTGTCTCTCTTGTGCCTTTAGATCAGTGCCAGGATTCAGAAACCCGTACCTTTTACCAAATTGGAGATTCGTGGGAGAAGTACGTCCATGGTGTCAGATACCAGTGCTATTGCTATGGTCGTGGTATTGGAGAGTGGCATTGCCAGCCCCTGCAGACCTATCCTGGTAAGAAACACAACAGACAGCTAACTTATCTGCTGAGTAAGACATGAGGAAAGCAATCTTTCAACCCCACATCTCTTCAGGTTTCTCTATGCTATTGCTTTCTGTTTCCTTTTGAAACAGAACTATTTCTCCCCCTCCCCGGGCAGACATGAACAGATGTCACGATTATAGAGAGAGGGCCACGCTAGTAACAGCTACTCCTGAGGCCAGGGCTAGTTTAGAGAATGACTGTCAGTTTTACATTGCCTCTTGATATTCAGCAATATCTCACCAGCAACCTTCAGTTTCTATTGCTTAAAACTGTTGTATGTGTACTCTT